TTATATGCGTGTAAATATATATATATATATATATATATATATTTGTTATGACAATATAATTTTGGATGTGTTTTTTATCTCGGGAAAAAGGTTTTAGAAAATAAGAAAATGGAATTGATTTTAGGAGAAAAGTAAATTAAAACAATTAATTAAAAATATGGAGAATAGATTTTAATTGATTTGAGAGAGAGAGAGAGAGAAAATAATTATTTAAGAGTTTGGTTTTTTAAAATTGGTTATATAAAAGAATTTGAAAAAAAAATTGTTGTTATTATAAAAATAGCCTTTGTATAAAAATTGAATGAAAGATAGAAGAAAATTGGATGTTTTTTTTGGGTATGGGTATTTGTTCTTACGGAGATTTGGATATGATTATAGTATCTGAAGAAATATCATATATATTTCGAATTTCTAAACTCTATATAATATGTTATAAAATAAAATATAACAAAACTTATCAATAATACTGATATATTATTTAACTAGATTAATAATATAAGACGTTGACATATGATATAAATGATATTTGTGAGATAATTGACACGACATGTTTTATAATTGATTTAACTATTTATGCGAATTTTGATATTTTAGTTGAGATTTAATTAAGTACGAATTTAAATTCAATAATAAGAAAATAAAACAGTATATAAAGGTGAAGACTCATTATTTTATTGTCTCCAGGTTTTAGGTAGAAAGTGTCAATTTTCTATATGATTGGACTCAGATATCATCGATGTTTGTATTTAGGGAATTACTCCTAACACCTCTCAGTCTGCAGAATCGCCACATCCTTTTTCTCACTCAGCTACCATGCACTGCATCCTTTCCCTTGCCATTTTCACTGCATACAACACCTTCACCTCCCATGTCAGCATGTGTTGTCGTGCCAATATCGGGAGGTGTAGAATATTTTTGAAATAAAAGAAAATAGTAAAGAAGTGCAGAAACACTTAGGATGGTGGAGAGAACAACATAATTGTATTCATTATTCCATTGTCTCCGATAAACCATTGTTATGTGTTCATGACATTTTAGAATATATGATTTATTTCATAATTTGTTATTCTTATAAAATACACAATAAACATATTTATATTTTCTAATACTTCATTTACCAGTTATAAGATTTGAATTTAAATAAACTACAAATAACTATCTAAACCTGTCCTTAGCAGTTTTGAAATTCACATGCCTCATTTATCAAGTCTTTTAAGTTAATTGTTATTTTGTTCTCCTCTATTGCTTATTTAATATTTATCTTCAATTCTTGATTCTTCTTTGACTAATATTTAACAAAAGACAATTAAATGATTTTTAAAGAATTATATGTTTGTCTTATGCATCCATCTTATAAAGAAGTATTTGATAAAATTGTTCTTCGGCCATACCATTTCTATAGAATATAATATCTATGATTTACAACCAATAAGACGTAAAATGCACGAGATGACACTTTTCAGCATTGGTCTTACTGATATCATTCTTATAATCTTTAAGCCCTATTATTAACCTTATTAACCTCCAATTCTATAATAATTCTCGATTTCTGAAATAATTTCTTTCCATATCCATGCCCTGAACACATATACTTTGATTTTTCTACTTATTTAGCTGAGTTTAATTAAGAAAAAACTATTCATTTGGTTTTTTTTTTATCTAAATAACATTATTTTTCCGAACAAAATTTCATCGGTGGAGCTTATCGAATATGAAAAGCTAAAAGCTTCAACTCCGTATTGTCCAATAATGTCGATGCCCCCACTTTCTCGGAAGCAGTATTTCATAAATCAACACTTGTCTTTACTCTACAAACTAATTTATTTAACGTAAGAAAAGTATTTATTTTACGGAGGATATCATAGACTTAACTTTGAATTTCTTGTATATAAAAAAGAATATATAAATAAAAGCATTTGAAATATAGTACGATGTTGGAATGTAATAAATAAAGAGAAGTTCTGCATTCTGTGGAGAAAGATAAAGCACAGAGGTATTGGATTCTGTCTGAAAGCATAATGACCAAAGGAACACCAAAAAAGACGACAACATGAAGGAACGAACAAGTAACAGTATTCAAAAACATCTTGATGGTACCTTAGACAATAAGTTCTCCGAACTTGCTTCAAAAACTTTAGTTACGCGCTTACTAAAGTGATGAGCAGAAGCTCCTATTTATGATGAGTCTGGAATTGCGAGAGTGGAAGGTGTGTGAGTGAGAGGCATAGCATGGAATCGGAACAGTGTCACGATGTTTATCTGAGTTTGAAAGGGAAAATCCACTACGGCTTCGGCGGAAATCTGTACAACGCGCTGCGGAAGAAGGGGTTCGAGACTATGATGAACAAAGAGGGAATGCAGAGTGGTTCCCAAGATTCACCCTTTCTTCTGAGAGCAATCGAGCAATCTAGAATCTCGATCGTTGTTTTCACCGAAGACTACCCACGTTACACTTGGTGTCTGAAGGAGCTTGTCAAGATTGTCGAGTGTATGGAGACCAAGAACCAATTGGTTTTCCCAATCTTCTACAAAGTCAAACCCTACAACGTCAGGGAACAGAAGAAATCCTACTTCAATGCCTTTGCCAGACACGACAAGAAGTTCGGGAAGGACTCCGACGAAGTCCGCAAATGGCGGTCTGCTATGTCTCGAGTCGCCAATTTGCCTGGACTCATCGCTCGATCTGGGTACGTAAACTTTTCTAACTCAAATCCAAAACAACTTGCATCAGTAGGGTTATTTTAGTTCATTCAACACTCACATTTGATGTGTCAAAGTCATACATTATTTGTTTGTTAAAGTACTAGGTTGTGCAATTAATAAAACTTGCGTTGTGGTGTGTTGTGTTGTGATCTTAATCTGATAGGTATGAATATGAGCATCTTGANCCCCCACTTTCTCGGAAGCAGTATTTCATAAATCAACACTTGTCTTTACTCTACAAACTAATTTATTTAACGTAAGAAAAGTATTTATTTTACGGAGGATATCATAGACTTAACTTTGAATTTCTTGTATATAAAAAAGAATATATAAATAAAAGCATTTGAAATATAGTACGATGTTGGAATGTAATAAATAAAGAGAAGTTCTGCATTCTGTGGAGAAAGATAAAGCACAGAGGTATTGGATTCTGTCTGAAAGCATAATGACCAAAGGAACACCAAAAAAGACGACAACATGAAGGAACGAACAAGTAACAGTATTCAAAAACATCTTGATGGTACCTTAGACAATAAGTTCTCCGAACTTGCTTCAAAAACTTTAGTTACGCGCTTACTAAAGTGATGAGCAGAAGCTCCTATTTATGATGAGTCTGGAATTGCGAGAGTGGAAGGTGTGTGAGTGAGAGGCATAGCATGGAATCGGAACAGTGTCACGATGTTTATCTGAGTTTGAAAGGGAAAATCCACTACGGCTTCGGCGGAAATCTGTACAACGCGCTGCGGAAGAAGGGGTTCAAGACTATGATGAACAAAGAGGGAATGCAGAGTGGTTCCCAAGATTCACCCTTTCTTCTGAGAGCAATCGAGCAATCTAGAATCTCGATCGTTGTTTTCACCGAAGACTACCCACGTTACACTTGGTGTCTGAAGGAGCTTGTCAAGATTGTCGAGTGTATGGAGACCAAGAACCAATTGGTTTTCCCAATCTTCTACAAAGTCAAACCCTACAACGTCAGGGAACAGAAGAAATCCTACTTCAATGCCTTTGCCAGACACGACAAGAAGTTCGGGAAGGACTCCGACGAAGTCCGCAAATGGCGGTCTGCTATGTCTCGAGTCGCCAATTTGCCTGGACTCATCGCTCGATCTGGGTACGTAAACTTTTCTAAATCAAATCCAAAACAACTTGCATCAGTAGGGTTATTTTAGTTCATTCAACACTCACATTTGATGTGTCAAAGTCATACATTATTTGTTCGTTAAAGTACTAGGTTGTGCAATTAATAAAACTTGCGTTGTGGTGTGTTGTGTTGTGATCTTAATCTGATAGGTATGAATATGAGCATCTTGAAAAGGTTGTGGAAATGGTGACTCGATCCTTGTCTCGGTACGATATCTTTATCAGTTTTAGGGGACCAGATACTCGTTACTCCTTCACGGGTTTTCTGTATCAAGCACTGTCCCGAGAGAGATTCAAAACCTTCATGGATGCCGAAGAGTTGAAAGACGGGGACAAAATTCCATCGGCTATTACTGAAGCCATCGAATCGTCAAGGCTATCCATTGTTGTTCTTTCTGAAAACTACGCAGATTCTTCGTCGTGTCTTGATGAACTTGACACCATCATGAAGTGTATGAAGACCAAGAATCAGTTAGTTTGGCCAATATTTTACAGAGTGGAACCCACCACAGTAAGGAATCAAAAGAACACTTATCACCAAGCCATGGCTGAACACGAACAAAGATATGGACGTGACTCTAGTAAGGTGTCGAAATGGAGACAGAATTTGTCTGAAGTTGCTGACTTGAAAGGATTCCCTCTTCAACGTGATGAGTAAGTGTTACATTTTCCTTTACTTGAAGGGGACAATAATCGTTGAACAGATAAATTAAAATTGATTTTTGTTTGTTTATTTTGTAGGTATGAATATAAAGTGGTGGAGGAGATTGTGACAAAAGCCATTGAGAATGATAATGGAAGATACTCCCATGTAACAAGTCTTGACTTGAGTGGCATGAACAATGGTGATGAAAATGAGTTGGCTAGTTCGAGTCCTAGTACTAGCAGGAATCAACACACCACTGACAATGATGATGAAGATTGTTCCTCTGAATTAAGTGTGGGCTAGAAGGAAAACTTCTTACTTCTTTTTACAGGGCCAAAGTTAAAAAAGGTGTAGTAAGTAATCTGATATATAGATATACTGTATTCTGATAGCATTTTCTACAAAGTATATATATAGTTTGTGTGTGTATAATGATAACACTTTTTGTAAGAGTAAAGAGTTGTGTTACTGCATATTTTTAGATAATATTAGTTTCTAGCCCTTGATCTTTAATTCCTCTGTTCCTTACTTGCACCATAGGCACAATATTTATCTGTGATACTATTTTTTTAATAGACAACTAATCTCTCATATCTTGAGTTAAATTTCTCAATTTTTCAACTGATAAAATATTTTGAAAACTCAAAAATTAAAAAACTACTTTGAACATAATTAACCATTAAAATTGGTATTAAGCTAAAAAGAAATAATATAACACATAAATCTCGTTAATTGCATTATAATTTTATACTATAGGATGACAATGTGAATGAAACGAAAAGCCATAATCTACATAATTTTTACTAGAAAGGTGACAATAATTGTAATGTAATATTTATATCAGGTGCTGATTTCTTTGTCTCATCAATGGCTTTTTTTGGTGGACATAACAATGATAGCTCCTCTTGGAGAGTAGTTGCTAAATTGTTTAGCTTTTGTGGCTACTTGCAGACAAAATTGTGATGAGATATGGCGAATCAAAATCAAAATATGTTACTTGCACGATTAGCCAACCGTGGCAGCAGTTTTGAATGAACTGATAAAGGAAAAATATATATAATAGGGATAAAATAATTATACAAGTAAAATAATCTTAAAAAGTAATTTTTTATATTTATAAAACAAAAGAGAAAAAATAAAAAAATAGTATTATTATTATGTATATAATAATATATAATGGTGGAAGGGGAATATACCAAAACCTCGTATGCTTCAAACAAATCATTATATTCAAACAAATCATGTTCAACATGCCTTGTTATAAGATGTTCACCATGATTGATTATATGGAGCTTTTTGATTAAACAATTCCTCGGATTAATTAGCATTGTCATTATAGTTTTTAATTAGTAACCATTGTTTTAGGTTAAGCATTTTTGACAATATCTTATTATATTATTATTAGCACTAATAATTTGATCTCTTGGTGGTAGTACCACAGTATTTTTGGGTAGAAGTACATTGAAAACAATGTAATTATTAGTTAATATCGCACTCATTTACCTGCGATTTTTTTTTTATTTTTTTAACTTAAATATGTTTTTCCTCTTTAAATTACAATAAAATATTATATTTTATCTTTAAATTAAATTACAAAAGAATTTAGTTATACATTGATGTAAAACATATTTTCTAATAAATGATAGGTGGAATTTTTTTTATGTGACAAAATTTATAGTGAATTAACATATAGTTAGAAAAAATCATTTATATGACTTTTTTTTATAGTGGGCTAATATAAAGAAAAAAATGTTTTATACGACTTCTATAAATTAAAAATAAAATACTTTATAATTTAATTTAGAAATAAATCATAACATTACAAATGTAGAAATGAATTACTTTATAATTTAATTTAGAAATAAACCATAACATTTTATAGTAGTTATGAAATGAAAATTCATATTTAATCTTTATTTTCTATAAATACACAAAAAGTGTAATATAATATATTTTCCAAGTAGAGTATTTTTCATATAATAAATGAAATTTTATAATAAATTATAATATAATTTTCCCGTATGAAAAAAAAGTTTTATATAACTTTCCTATAAAGACAAAATAATTTATAATTAAATTTAAGAACGAGATACAATTTTTTATAATGATTTAGGGAGAAAAAGAGATACATAATATATATATATATATATATATATATATATATATATATGAAAAAAACATATGATATACAGATTAATATTTTTATTTCTTTTAATCTAAGCTCATTATTACGAAATTAAATTGTAAGGTAAAAATTATCTTTAATTATATACCAACGAACATTCGTATGTGGATCCTTAAATCTAACAAACTTTTTTAAGATAATAAGAAATAAATTTAAACTAACTCATTCTACAAACTCACTTGAAAAAGAAAATTCTTCCACTCATATACTATAATAATCAGAAGGTAAATTTAAGTTTAATTCATCTTATAAGATAAATTATTAAAATAGATGTTATCTTTATTTATATACTATATATATATATATATATATAGTATGAATATAAGATCTTCAACATTTTATTACTAATTATATGTACATACTTGGTGATATGTACATAAGTATGCGAGTATAAACTATATAACACATCAATTAAACATAAAATTTTACAAAATTAATATATATAACTTCTAAAAAACCATAAACATCCAATAATTATTATGTAAATCCATTATTATAACTTATAAATATTGTCTCATTCTATCACATAACTAAAATAGTTTAACATACATATAAAGCGAAATTGTTTAAATTTAATTATTATATAACATATTATATATATAACTCTTGATTGGTATTTTTGTTGGTTACTTTCCAAAACGTTATAGAATATAAAACACGTTGTTGGATCATTGATTGAGTGATCATAGCTTCAGACATGTTCTCACATGCCTAATAAATGATACGCATCCGGTTTAAGTGACAAGGATCATCCTTCCCAAAGGATATAAGTTTAAAGGAAATAAATAAGTTTTAAAGGAATAATCGAAATATTTTAAAAGAAATAAACTTAGAAATAATTATTCTCATATTGAAATATTTCCTAAACTTAGAAATAATTGAAGGAAATAAGTTTTAAAGGAATATAATAAAATGAATAATGAAAGTTACTGCTTTCTTTATAAACTTTTTTATTTGTAAACTTTTAAAAGAATATAAATATAATAAAATTTATATACAATCCAGAGCTTACCTTAGTTTACCTAATTTACAGCTTTTATTTGTAAACTAACTTCAGCAAGTAATATACATATATCTGCATTGAATTAAGATGGTTGACCAACAAAAGTTTTGTTGTCGTTTTTTATTCTTCGCCCTATGTTATAAAATTACAATAAAATTTAATAAAGAGTGTGTTAAAAGGGTCTGTTGATATGATATCACTTCTGGAAATATTACTAGGTAAAAATTCTGTATTTAATTAAATAAAATAAACATAAATATTTAATAAAAAATATATATATATC